AGAGCATTGTGGTGTCAGGGGTGACTGTGCAGCAGCTCTGTTTTTCTACTGGGTGGTAACGTAGCTGGTAGGGTTTTGCAATATAAACTTCTAAAAACTGAAGCCACCTTTGCTCCGTTTGGGACTGTGAGCTGCACTTTATGAGAGGTGCTGAAGTTAACATGTGTGGGTGAGATTGTGAATTGAGAAGTGTTTCAATTCGTTTTGGTTTCATCTTAGCGGCGTTCTGTGTCTGTCAGACAGGCTGAAGGGGATACTACAACAACAGCAGAGCAACAACGCAGACTTATCCTACTTGTCCTCTTGCGACTCGGTTTTCTTTATTGTGATTCACTATACTTTATAATGCTGCCTTGAGTGAATTTAAAAAGATAGACTACATTTTGTAAGATCAATAGATTTTTATGTGTAGTACTTTTACTTTTAATTATTTTTAAAACCAGGTACTTTTTTACTTGAGGTTTACACTGGATGACTTTTACTTTTACTTGAGTAACTATTTTCATGTGGTATCTGTACTTTTACTTAAGTATGAAAATTGAGTACTTCTTCCACTACTGGTTTATTTACAAATGTAACGTGAGCACTGTCATGAGCTTAACAGACTTTTACAAGTAGATGTTGGTGTGTTGGACTTTTACAAGTAATGTTGGTCTGTTGGTGGTGCCCTAGTTGACTGGCTAGCTCATCTGTGCCCTAAAACGGCCCTGTAGTCAGTTCAGTTTGCCAACCTGTCATTAACCTGTGTCTCCTGTGCTCAGGAACTCAAACCGGACCCGTCGGCAACCAAGTCTCCTCTCCATACCTCCTGGATCTCACTGCCCTGCCAGCTGAATCATGACAGTTTGATGATTTACTACAAAACACCTCCAGTAGCAGTAGGGTAAAAGCTGGGTTATACTGGAAAAGATGTAGTTTGTACAGTGTGTTTTCCGACCCCGTGATAAGGCCGATCTCACATATACTATACTGAATAAAAACAATAGTTCAACATGGTTGCTTCCTTTGCTGGTTAGTCATCAAAGCAGATATTCTTGTGCTGTAAAAATTTAATGAAAGGCCAAAGCCTGTGAGGGTGCCGGCCCGTGGGCAACAGTCACCCCGTTACTCTGCAGGTCAGCCTGAATGTGACAACACAAGACCATCTGCCCAAGAACACTATGTTCCAGTTTACAAGTGAGTGAGTGTGTCTGTGTGTGTGTGTGAACGTGCAGCAGAGTCACATGGACCAGCCGCTAGCCATCACTGAAACTTTGAATGAATGAAACACGCATGGACACCTGCAGCAGCGTATCGCTGTCACTGCCCCAAACCAATCTGCTCAGTGTGACAGTTTTGAGTCACTTGTTGTTGCAAAATGTTCTCATTTTAAACAGATCTTTTTTTGAGTATAAGATTATTATTATTATAGATTGTTGTTATAGCAACAAAAATGTCTAGTTAAAGCCTAAAGAGTGTATAATTGTGTGAATCTAGGGTATTGGAGGTACACATCATTATAGATATCTACAATCCAGTTTTTGAGAAACAGACCTGTCCTTTTTGTGTTTTCCTGTGAATCAATAAAGAACAAGGCCTATGCACTGTGTACAGTCTGTGTGTGTGAATGTGTTTGTAGATGGTAGAAAGGTGTTCACAAATTTGTGCAGAGGAGCCTTAAGGACCTTGAATATAGTCGTGTGAAAAAAGATAACACCCCATGAAAACCTTTGTCTTTTTTAACATATTTAAACATGGACATTTGATCTTCATTTTAACATTGTTAAATGCAACAAAAATGCAGGTTATAGAACTCATTAGTAAAATTGAATTTATAGAAATGCAATTTTCTTGTGAGGAGAAAGTTAGGACAACCCAACATTTATTACTACTTAAAGTGCCTAAAATTAGAATCAAGTGCAAAACATGATCAGAGAGGACTGGAGGAGTCTGTCTTAGACATTTAGTTTGATTTGCTCAAATGAGTAGTATCACAATAGTGAGACCAGAAGACCTTTCTGAGGCATTCAGCAGGTTGTAGATGCCATCAGCTATTCCACTGTCCATTAAAATAAATTACACATGGAGAACATTTATGACAACTGCAAACATGGCCAGGTCAACTGTTGTAGCAAGTGAAGCCCAAGAGCAGACTGCAAGATGTTTCAAGAAGTCTCCAACAATCCTAAAAAGTCATTAAGTGACCTACAGGTAGCTCTCTCAAAGACAAAATTTGAGCACAAGAACCTCATACACACTTTGCAGCATGGGGATGGAAGTGTCATGGTGTGGGGCTGCTTAGTTGCAGCTTTTGTTGTCACGTACAGTTGTACACAGTCCAACACATGCAAAATGTGTCCTCTACATTTAACCCATCCTAATCAGCAGCAGTGGGAAGCCATTGTGCAGCGGGGAGCAGTTACGCGTTCAGTTCCTTGCTCAGGGGCACCTTCAGCAGTGGTCCATGCTGGAGTCAAATCGGCGATCATCCGGTTCCCAAGCCAAATTCCCACGGATGAGCTAATGCCGCCCCCATTCACTTTGAATTCTTTATTGTATCAAAGGATCCTTGAGTAAATGAAGAGTATGGAATGGCCAAATCAAAGCTCAGATCCTAATCTTATTAAAATGCTGTGGGGGGATTTTAAACAGCATGTGAGGGCAAGAAACCCCTCAAACATCAAACAGCTGAAAGTATTCTGCATGGAGGAGTGGGAAAAACTTGTCAATGAATACAGAAGATGGATGAATAAATAAAGTCCATGACTTGTATTTGGCATCTTTATTCATTTTTTGTTATATGAATAAAAACAAAGTTACATTTTCATTGTTTTTGGTTGAATTACATCACATTTATCTATATCTAGAAATATTATTTGAAAGAAGATCAAACATTGATATGTCCATAAATCTTAGAAAAGAACACACAGGAGGACTGGATACAGTCTCTTTCTGAGAGCACAGAGGGACATTTCAAGATACTTTTTCTATGCATATTCAAGACAATAACATGCACTCTGCATGGAAACGTCTGTTGGTCTGTTGCTGCATCCATCTGCAGTCCTCTGTCCAACATTTTGTCCAGATGGAAACATCTTGAGAACTATGGAATCGATTGATTTGGCACATACATTCTTCCTTACAGGATGTATTTTGTGACTTTGGTTATTACCTGGATTTTCATCTAGCACTAACACTAGGTCAACTTGCCCAACACTCTTACCTCAAAATGAACCCCTCTGATGGCGGACAGAGCCATGCGAGTGCTACTGAGGAGAATGTGAACACTGCTCTAAACTGCTCCTTCCACCACTCCTACAAATAATAATAATTCACGAAGTTAGTAGGTTTTGTTGTCATACTATTAATCACAGATTGTGGTGTTAGAGGGGTGGCGTTATAATGTGTGGTGTTAGATGTTAGCAGAGGTGAAGTATTTCAGGCAAGTCAAGTCAAGTGACTGAGAGTCAACTCGTTTTTCCTGTCTTGACGACAGAGTACCAGCCTGGACCCCAGACTCGGATAACTCACCAGCACCACGAGGCCCAGAACACCGGAATTCTCTGACCAACCAGAACATCTACCACCAAGCCCACATCCCTGTTTGCATTTGTTTTGAATAAATTGTCCATTTTTGAACTGATTTTCCGGTCTGCGTTTGAGTTCTGGCCCCCGGACCAGACACATACAGGACCGTGAGTGAGACAAGGGTCAAAGCAAGAGAGGCAGTCCAAAGTATTCTAACAAGAAGCAGGTCCAAAGTCCAAATAATCATAGGTACAGGTGACAGGGCTCAAGGTAACAAGGCTTGAGCCATATAGGATGATCTGGCAAGGAGTGAGGTGAAAAGGGCTGGTTAAGTACTGCAGGGCTGAGAGGGAGCGTGGAAACAGGTCAGGGAAGGTAGGGCAATGAAAGGGCCCGGGGAACCTGGGAAGTGGCTGAAGAGTCGGGACAGAGAGACAGACTGTGACAAAAACCTCCACTTATTAGTGGCCTAATGACTTTTATTTTATAAACTTCTCCTTTGGTGGTTCTTTTCTAAGATGGTGTCTTCCTTTTCAAAACAAATCAAGCACAAACATTGTCTTCAGGAATTCTAAACATTTCTGGTTTGCTGCTATGGCTCTGTCAGCCAAGTAAGCCAACTAATATCAGCCATGCCTGACCATCACACAGAAAGTTCACTGCCTCCGAAGAGGAAGTGATCCAGGCGACAATCACTTGACGTCATTCAACTGGCTTTCTGAACAACATGACATATATTTACCGCTGCCCTATGGTGTCATTCTGAGCTCATAGAAAGCTCACTCATCAGCTTACTCTTCTCCGCCTGGAACACTCTGGACGACCTTTTCTACTAGAACACTGTATCTTTTGCTCAGGCTGGAGGGCTTGCAGACATTAAAAATAGGTACCGCGGATGTCTGCTGAGTGAACCAAAAGTGTCAACTACTGAGATGTGTATGACAAACAGAACCATGATGCCTTGTTGGAATGACGTCCTAGGTTGATGTCATCGCTCGTGCAGATCGCCTTGGGTGACCTCATTAGTCTCACTCTCTCTCATACACACACACTACATGACAAAGACAGGACATGGGCATTAAAGGACTTTTAGCCCTCAAAGGACTTCTTAAGAAATTTTGCCAATAATAATTACAATTATTATCTAATTCTGTCTGCACACACTGACATGTTTACAGAAGTGTGCATTGGCCTTGAATAAAGTTTTGCTTGTATAAAGTGTGAATATAAATTTTCTGATAACCTCATATGTAAATGTCAAGTGAAGGACCATGAACCCTTTTCTAAGAATTCTGAGAAAATAATCTTGTTCATTCATAAAAACAGGTCAAAGAAATTGTACAGTAATTTTTTTGATGTTGTGCGTACGTCTGCGTCACAGGATCTACTGATCATTGTAAATGTTCTACCCTTCGCCGCCCATCCTCTCTCTCTCCCCCTCCCTCCCTCTCTTTCTCTTTCATATTAAAGTGTAAGAGGGAAATGGTCAGTGAGGGACCCTCACATGAAGATTAGAAAAGCTTCTGCACCCTCTGCTCTGAGACAGGAGCTTCTCCGTGCCCTGCAGGATGCCTGGAAACATCAGATCAGGTAGCTACTTCAGAACTTATAGTCAGACCTCTTTCTGCGTGCCATGCCTGCTCTCTTCCTATTATATGATTTTGCCTCTTTATTTTGTTCAGTTCTTCATTCCTGACTTAAACATTTTAACAACACACACTTTTCAAAAGAGGAAGGCGTGACCTCATCTCAGTTCTGCCAGATTCTGGCTGAGACTTGCTGTAGGTTTTGAATCATTTTTGTCAGTGCAGTTTAGTTTCATCTGGGTTCTCTGTTCTTCCCTTGGTCTTTGGTCTCTCCTAGTGTCTGTGGTGTGGGTGCTGTCGGTCTGTCTGTTCTGCAGCAGACCGACCAGCGTGGGTGCAGCACCCATCTGTGCCAATGCCCAAACCGGGTGCCACATCCTCTCCCTGGCCAACCTGTTTGACCGGGTCATCCAACACTCAGCCAGGATGCACGGTGTTTCAAACGACCTTCACTCCGAGTTTGTGGGTCTCCTCAAGCTATTTTCTGACCATCCTTTTCTCATGGTGTTTCAAAATTACGTTTGATTTTGTAATGGTGATATTTATGTTTGGTTACACATATTGCTAAATGTGTTATTTGGACTATATTGACATTCTAGCCTAAACTACAAAAAATGTGTAAATGTTCCTTAAACATTTAAAGCTATGTGTATACACTGATGAGTGTGTGCGTTTGTCCGTTTATTAGGTACATCAAGCTAAAACTAATTCAATCAAACGCAACAGCCATGCAGTCAGTCCTAACATCATGTAGGTTATGTTCAGTTTGTCTTGTAATATGCTGTCCTGTCCTACAGTGGACAAAATAACAGAAACAATACAGTTAAACAGCAGAACATACTGTATCCTGTCGTTTTAAACTGTATTTGTTTAAGCTAGGTATACCTAATAAACTGGCAACTGAGTGTATGCGCACACTCACACACACAAAGATGTACTGTATATCCTTAGCCATTTGGGATTATTTGCAACAGCGGTCCACTCTACTATTTCATTGATTACTTCTTGTACTCCAGCCACAGTTGACATTTAGATGATACCAGACCTCTGACATTTCATTCTCTTGTTCACGTTTGTCCTGCCAGGAGCAGTACTTCCTGCCCAGTAAGAATCAAATTGGCCGGGTCAGTCGCAACTGTCACACCTCCGACATCCTCACCCCAAATGGCAAGGAGAACGCTCAGAGAATGGCGGTGAATAAACCTTCTATGAAAGCGATTTCCTCTCATTGGCATGCCCTGTCCACATCATCTTTACAATAGAAATGTAGTGTTCTCTAATCAGCATATACCTTCCCTTGTACTACACACCTCTGCATGGATGCTTGGAACATTTCATAATGCATGTTGTGCAGTTTGAACTGACTTTTAAATGTTTAATGGTCCACCTGTCCTGTTGTTACAGAGAGAGGAGCTGACGGAGGTGATTCTGAAGCTCCTGGTGGCATGGAGGGATCCTCTGTGGCATTTCCACCAGAGCATAGCTCACCATCATGACTTCAACAACTTCAGCTCCAATAAAGCTCTTGAGATGAGTGACATGGTGCATGAGCTGCGCAAAGGTGTACAGAAAGTGGCTGAGAAGGTACCGTATTTCTTATATAATGCAAAAGTTTGGGGGAAAGTTTACATGAGCCCTGCAGGACCCACAAAGACCCATTTGTGACCCAAATTTGCAACATAATTCTATGGTTATCTGAACTTGTTAGTATGTGTAGTAGATGCTTGAAGCAGCTGTGTAATGGAGCTTCCAGGGACGTACTTCCCGCCTTCTCCCTGCTTTTTGTGGGGTCTTTTAAAGGAATGTGTAAGGGTCAATTAAGTTATAGTGTATATTTTGTGTGGATTCTATTTTGGAGTTGTACACTACAATGACCAATGAATGAATGACAAACAAAAAGGTAAAAACAAGACAAACAGATGCTTCCAAAAATGTTTCCTCTACAAAACAATAGCCTTGACTCATTATACTGATTTGAGCTTCTTTCACCAAATTTAAATCAATGGCGGTGGGCCACATAGGAGGAACACCTGAGTGTATGTACCTATTTATCTTCAGGATTTCTGTGTACTCAGAAACACTGTTATGGCTTCATGCTTGTAAATGGGTGTGTTCTGATTGTGCAAAGCTGAAGTGTGTCCTCTCTGCTCCAGATGCAGATGTTGGGGATAATAAGTAACTCAGTTAGCGGCCTGGCTTCTCATGAGGCTTCCTTGCCATCTGGAAGTGCTGAGTGGCGCCTGATGAAAGACTATGAACTCCTCTACTGCTTTCGCAGAGACTCCAACAAGATCCAGAACTACCTGAAGATCCTAAAGTGTCGCATTATGCCAGAACATGGATGCTAAAGGCCAGGAAACTATGGAGGCTGTGTTTAACTTCCGGAAAATACCAACATGTTGGAATGGAAATGCTACGATTAGAAACTGCACGGATAAAGCTGTAGTTTTTGTGTTTTCTATCTGAAGGGTATGGGACGTTAACTGATAGATATGTTCACTCCTATCATGACTGAAGTGCTACTGAAACCCAAAGACTCTTCCCACCTCAGATTATATCGAGCGTGGACAAACATGAGTTGAGCGTGGACAGAATGGAATGAGTGTAATGCATGTTATGATAGACTCCTGTATAACACACGTTTAAATATAATACCATAAAAATCATTTCAAGGAGCATGGATGCCATGTTTTTTCATTTCTACAGAGGGGATACTAAGACACTGCACTTTACACCTAAAGTCATCCTCCCTCTATTATGACGGATCAAACAAATCACACATGAGGCTCTGCTGATGGCTTGAGGTCTCAAGTTTAGCTAGTAAAGTGAAGCTCGTCTTCATACAGTACTCACCTCAAAACAACACACCTTTATACACTGAAAGAGTTACTGGTCACTGGTACTTCATCAGATGCAAATAAATAGTATGCAACATCAGCTGAAAGTCTGCAATATTCCTTTATTGTATAGAATTCTAGAAGGTAATGAATCTGGGCAAATAGTTCGGGTTTGAGAAAAAAAAAAAAAAAGGAACAAAAAGAAAACATTGCACTGACAGTGTGGGGTTTGGACTGCGGATCAGTGGCTTCATGATGCAGCTGCTATGGTGATGGCCTCCGGCCTTCCAGTACTCTGTTCCACACAGGAAACATGAACAGAGCCGTCCCTGCAACGTACACAGACAATGATATAAAATACAGTCATATTAAAAACGGCCCATGCACTGATCCTGAAAAGAACGGATACCTTTTCATAGTCACCACAGTGTCGATGTCGTGGTTCTCCTCTCTCGGCTGCAGGTCTCTCAGGACAATCTATATGTTATACACACAAAAGCAGATTAACGGTTTCTTTCAATTGTTAATTCTAATAAATTAATCATTGTTTGTACTGTCTGAACAATACCAGCCAAAAACAGAAAAAAACTCAAGGCTTTGTGAAACTGCTACAATATTTTGCCATTTACAATTTACAGTACTTCCTACATTTACAGGGCATCATTTATTTTGTAATGTATGACTTAGAACTAAATTTTAAATCATTATGAGTAGCCAGGAATCTATATTGCTGTGTCATTTTAGTGACTTGATATTGACAGGAGTTAGCAAGCTAACTTTTAGGCTGAAGTCAGGGGTCTCTCTCTTTCCCTGTGTGCACGCTGTCCTTGCCCCTCTCCCACTCCTCTGTGTGAATGGTGCACTTGAGCTTTGCCTCTTGTGTGTTTGTGTAGTCTTTTCCAGATTTCCATGGTGGAGAGAAGGTCATTGCTCAGCGTCCCCATGGTCCTGTTATTGGCATATACCACTCTATCTGTACCTTTGCTGACTTGACGTGACACACATCTCCCCTGATCTCCTGAGCATCTTTACTACAAATTGCACTGAGCTTTATTGTTTTATCTTCAATATTCTCTTCTAGTGTCTATTTAGGAGAATATGAACTGTAAAAAAATAAAATAAAATTTATAATTTTTTAAATCATTCAGCCCTACTCTGGAAGAAACTTGAAGAGAACTTAACGGGGAAGTGCATGTTGCGCGACATTTGATCCTGTGTTAGTGCTTTTCTGTACCTTAGCTAGCTTTTCTGGCTGCTCCGCGACAAACCTCTGGTAAATCTCCACACAGAGCGAGGATAGCTTCCCCTCTGCGCTCATGATGTGGTGTCTCCGAGCAGGGAGGGGCGTGCCCGACGGAAGGAGAACAGTGAACACCTCAGCTCCGGATTCATCCATCTCCTGCAACACCCACACACCAGACACAAAGGATGAGAATGAATGTAATCTAATCTTTAGATTAATCCCACATTAATTGGGCAATTGAGATCATTGGACAGATTTTGATAATGGACCAGTATACCTTCACTAGTATGTCAGCGGCAGAAACATCCACTGTGACAGACTCTTCCTCGGGGCCAAGGCCCTCTCTTCCAACCAGTAGGCCTGCTTCCAGGGCAGCTCCCACAGCAATGACCTCGTCAGTAGGTGCTGAGCTGAGAAGCTCCACATCACCAAACATCTCGCGGATCAACTGCTGGAGACGAGGGATCCTGGCTGAGCCACCGCAAAGAACCACCTGAAAGCACACCAGTCACATGAAGAGCATGTCGAGTTCTGACTGACCCAAGGCTTTTACTTTCTGTAACTCACCCTCATCCACATCATACTCCTGCCATAGCACTGGCAATAAACGAAAGCACTTGCGACTGTAAAAACTTCTCACACACCGTACCTTGTTAATGTCGCTGGTGGAGAGTCCCGCCTCCTCCAGCAGGGGTCTGATTGGCTGGATGCTCTTGTTGAAGATTGAGGAGCAGAGAAGCTCAAATCGTGCTCTGAGAAACCACCACACAGAGGCTGTCAAGGTTTATAACAACTATTTATCCAGCCGATACAGGTAAAAAAATATTTCTGCTTGTCAAAATCTGACAGTATATGCTTAAACCAAATCTGCTAGCAAAAGCAAACATCATAAATCTTCATTATAGAGTTCCTAACAAATCAGTGTGTGTGCTTCTGCCACAACCATTCAGCTGCAGGGGTCCATTTACGATGTCTTCATTTTCAGTAGTGTATAGGTTTTGGTTTTTTAGCTTTGTTAGGACTGAAAATTGCAAAAAGCTAAGTTAATTACAATAGTTATTATTTTAAATGCTTTGTGCTTACCTAGAGACATTGCACTCAAAGTCAATGCCATCGTGCAGGGAGTCAACAAAGCAGTTGGCTGATCCCAGTGAGGACAGAGAGTGTTTGGCCATGTCTGCTCCGTTCATCAGCTTCATCATCGCCCGAGCATTGCTGCTTATATCATGCTTAAAGGTGCTACAAACAGAGAAAAATAACATGAGGATGGCTACGAGGAATCAAACACAAACAAGGTGTGTAAAACACTGAATAGGTGCGTGTGAGAAGGAATGAGTCCAACAGAAATGAAGTATACAGTGTTCTGTTTACTAGCTTTGAAAAAAAAAAAAATAGCATGGTGGGAATTGCATTGCGTGTTTCTGTTTGTAGTGCTGCCTTAAAATGGATTTTCTAAATGTTTATTAATCTCCCCAACGTTAATTATTTCTGCAAAGCTGTTGTCATGGTAACGTAATGTTAGACCATGTGTCATCTAACTTTCGGTTATTTTATATTCCCTGTTTCCTCTACCGGCCACGTATGAGTGGCTAAAACTAACGTTACAGACTGACTGTACACTCGCCAGTAATTATCTTACTGCATATTACCCCAGTGATGAAATAAACCCATCTTATTATTATTATTATTAGTCCAAGCCCGAGTGGGCTGGGAACCCACGAATGCAAGGGAACCCTATTGTAATCGTTCGACGGTAACTGCTAGGGACGCCAAACTCATAGGGTAGGTACAAGCCCCTGCCAGTAACTCAGGCGCAAAAATCCACACACTTCTACCTCTAGGGGGCGCAATAAGCAAGGTCAACAAGTTTGGGCTTGGAACTCCTGCTCACGAAGGCGGATATCAAAAACTGTACATCCACGTGTTTGTGGGATCGAGCTGATTCTCGTGGTATAGGCCACGCCCATATCCGCCTAAACCTTTTTTCGCTACATCGCGAAAAGTGAGAAACCTATTTTAATTAACTCCTCCAAAGCCGCAAGTCCGATCGACACCAAACTTGGCACGGATAATCTCTGGACCAAGCTCATGAAAATTTGTAGAGGAAATTTTGATCAGACTAAAAATGTCGCAATTATATGCTAGCAAACATTTGCGAAAAAAACGCTATAAACAGGAAATTAAGTCATATCTTCGCTTTGGAAAGGCTGATCGAAAAATCCCATTGACTTACATGCATTTTATATCTCCATAACCACAAGTCCCATTGACACCATATTTGGGTCACTTGTTCCCCATGGGGCCCTGATGACACCTGAAAAGTTTGGTGCAATTCAGCCTAAAGGTGGCGCTATAATCGAACCTCAAACACCCCATTCATTTAAACGGGATTTTCAACCAAAGGACATTTTGCAGGATCACTACGGCTCACTACATCGCACATTCATAAACCTTATGTCTACGTGTTTAGGGGATGCTGCCGATTCCAATGGTATAGGACCCGCCTCTGTGCGATGACGTTTTCATTTCGCAAAATCGCGAAAACTGGAAAACCTATTTTAATTAACGCCTTCGAAGCCGCAAGTCCAATTGACACTAACTAGTTGGCGCTATTCAAGAAAATCCCATAGACTTACGTGCATTTTAGATCTCCACAACCACAACTCCGATTGATACCAAATTTGGGGCAATTCCACTTACAGATTGCGCTAAAATTGAAGCTGAAATTTCTCAGTGTACCTATGATAAAATTAACAGACCTCTACATGCTTTGTAAGTAGGAAAACCTGCAAAATCAGAAGTGTATCAAATACTTGTTCTCCCCACTGTATTTATAGCTACAAAGTAAAACTGTAACATGTGGCAGAAAAAAAGTGTAAGGAGAGCTCCAGGGAGCAGCAGAAAACACAGCAGCTACCGCTTGAACTCAGCGGCGAGGTGCTGGGCCAAGGCCTGTGTGAAGCTCTCTCCTCCGATGCTGTGGTCAGTGTGGGTGTTGAGAACCCGGAACATTCCTCCATTGACCTGCAGCACCGTCACACTCAGGGAAGTCCCACCCAGCTTATACACCAGGACATGGCTGTTGACAAAGAACAGATCAGCATCAGGCCAAATTGTTGGAAATCTATTCATTTTGACTTCATAAATGAGTCCATTAAGCCAAGGTGGAAATATATACAACTTGATTTAGTTTAGTTTTATTACAGTTTCGACTGCTTAAACACTATAACCAGCCTTTTAAAGAAAAAATTCTAAACCATAATGCCATTTATCAGAAAGCACAGCCATTTCCCTAAACTATAAACACTCCCTGTTTTGACACATGATTCAGATTTGTTGAACTGTCACTGTAAAACTCACACATACACAGATCCCTTCATTTCTCATTGCCTACACTATGTGGGCATTAAGAAAGCACTAACATTCAATATTGTTCAATAAAGTACGGAGAGAACAAACAGGTGAAGGAGGAGAAAGTGGAGGAAGTGGAGAAGGAGTTGGGAGTAGGGCTGTGAGATATGACTTTATCTATTGTTTACAATTATGCTCTATCGTTTATTTTGTTGTGAAATTAGCATTTAATGTAATGGACAAGCCACACAACACTATCCAGCAATGCCAGTCATGATGTGTGTGTTAGTCAGGAAACGTTAAATGACCTGCCCACGAATAAACAGCTTACTTTCTAGTTCGCCAAGACATGCTGTTGTTGTGATGTTAGCTGTAGCAGCAGGAGAGCTGTGTTGCTTGGCTGCTCTTTCCCATTAGTTACTTGCTGTGCCGTTGTTTTTTGTCATATCGCACAGCCCTAGTTGGGAGGAGGAGGGGTGGAGAAGGGAGTAGGGAGAGAAGGAGAAAGTGGAGGAAGAGATTCTCTGGCCTGTCTCACACAAGGGGGTAAGACAGAGATCGGACATGGAAGCCAACCAAAGCCTTCATGGAGGGATCCATGTAGGCCCAAAAATGATGTCAAAACCCTGTGACACCCGGTCGCACATGAGAGATGTAACCGTATTGCTTAGATTCTTAACTCTCAGCAATCTAAAAAAAACTTATTAGGCCATCAGTGACGCTGCGTTGGTGTTTGACAGGTGATCCTCGTAGGTGGGCTGATTAATCAGTGACGATCCAAGTCAGACAAACACACTGAACCATGAAACGTTTTGTTGGTGCAGCTACCAGAATTACGGTGTGTCTGCCTTTGTTCTACGTCATTAAACCACGGTTATGCTGCGCGATCATGCGCAGTAGACGCTGGTGCCAACAGGAAGTAGCCCTGTAGTAGTATTTTATTGGTCCAAAACTGGCTTCACTGCTCTCCATTCAAATCAGCGGAGTGGCTTCGTCCAGTAATATACTGTCTATGGTCTCACACCAAAGACGTGGGGCAGAATGATTTTTGTTTGCTGTGTTGCGCAGTACATTCAAGGAATAAAAACTGTGCAAATGTACAGTATACATTTGTTGTGTTCATGTGAAAAGATTTGAGGGGGAGAACTCCAGACATTACTTTTAAACAGTTTTTCCTGGTATTGTATCTCTTCAGCGTGTCAGACTGCGTTGTTGTGAGTGTGTTTTTGAGGGCTTGTGTGCTTTGTCTGAGGGTTTTTCAGCAACATTGAATGGTTTTAAGTGGAGAGCTTCATTGGTGACCTGAAAATAGGATGTTTGGGGAACTGAGTAGATGGTTATGGATTTGTGTTTAAAGTTTTGAGAAAAGGAGGCATAATTCTAAGAAATGTGTTTAAGCAATCTTCATCATGCAGAATCAGTGCTGTACCTCTTTCCAGAAGAACAGTCCTGTCCGATGTTATAGGCCAACAGAGCAGCAGCAGGCTCGTGGATCAGCCTCAGCACATGAAACCCTGCAGCTTCAGCTGCCTGCCTGCACAGAACAAACAGAGTTGTGGACTGTATTAAAAGGAACATATGGAAACCATCTCACAAAATATCACCATTGTTATGGGTAGTGATGTGGCCTACTTCAGAGCACGTTTCTGAGCATGTGCAAACTCAAACGGGACAGTAATGACTGCGTCGGTGACATCAGAGCCCAAAGCTGACTGAGCCGTTTCTGTGAAAATCGGAATGATCAATCAACTTGCTGCTCATTTATGAGGGATGTAAGTGTGTGTGTGTGTGTGACAAAGAGTTTTCCACAAAATACCTTTCATTTTGTGGAAGATGAGTTTTGCAACGTCCTCTGGAGCAACGTACTCTGGGTGATCTCCTGCTGTGATCTCATAATAAGGCTTGTCTCCTCTGTTGACCACCTGAACACAGCAATCACAGCTCAGACTGAGGAGTCGCTGCTTTACCATGACAGCAAATTGTCTTGGGTTCAACAAGTATTTTCAAAACTACATCTAAGAAACAAGCTTCTAAGCTGTAGAACTATATGAACAGCATGACAAAAATTAATGTTAATGAAGGAAACAAAATCTATTTAGCAAAGCAATCATTTTAGACATTTTGAGATTAAAAAAAACTCTGGGGTGGATCTGTTAAACTCACCTGGCACTTGGTCTCTGTTTTGTGAATTTGTGTCTCTGGATCACCAAAGCTGCCCGTTGAGAGACAAAGATAAAATCTATAAGTCACTCTGAACAACTCATTCAGTTAAATACTGCAAGGCTGAAATGTGCAGGTGTCCTCTTGTTTGATTACAGGTCCTTGAATGACCGCCTTGTCAAGCATTCAAGTCAAGAGTCCGGCTACCAATGATTCTGTAAGGAAGTACATTTCTCCCTACTGACATATTTAGATTTTAACATTCAAACAAGCCAACAACTGAGTCTCCAGTAGCTTTAAGATTTGCAAACAAGACAGTGCAATGTCACCTTCTCCCCAGCACTTGTTTCACTTTAACAACTGTGTTGGCGGCGTTGCGGACCCGTCCTTGCTTTGCTGCAATACCTACAATCTGCAGAACATAAAAATCAGTCAATAGTCAGACAGAAAATAAAACAGCTAAAAGCACAAATGCCAACATATTAGTCACTCTATAGCTACAGTTGTAGAGGCTTTACAGATGCATCACACAGCTTTCAATAATGCAACAACCTGGCTCCATCTAGGGAGGTTTAACAGAACTGTGCACAGAGCAATTCAAGTGCCTACATATAAATGGCCAGAAAATCAGTACAGTTCACAGATCCTGTGATCAGAGTAGGTAGTGCTGTGTGACCATGTATGGCTACAAAGAATCTAGTTATTTGGACATATTTCGGATTTAAAAGTTCAGATGTGTGATCCTACATCTCAAATTTGGCTCTGAACTTTTAGCACACTTCACAGAAAATTCAGCCCAAAAATACCAGGATATGATTTTTGGTCCATATCACCCAGCCCTACAAAATACAATGGTGTGAAAACGTGTTTGCATCCTTCCACTTTGTTTTGATGATTTATGCCCATTTGTCACACTAAAATGTTTCATCAAACATTAGATAGCCTAATAACTGGTTGGGCCACCCTTAGCAGCAATAACTGCAATCAAGCGTTTGCGATAACTGGCAATGATTCTTTTACAGGCTGTGGAGGAATTTTGCAGAATTGTTGTATTTCAGCCACACTGGAGGGTTTGAGCCTTAACTGCTTTTTTTAAGGTCATGCCACAACATCTTGATCGGATTCAGGTCAGGACTTTGATTAGGCCACTCCAAAGTCTCCATTGTTTTTCTTAAGCCATTCAGAGGTGGATTGCTGGTGTGTTGTGGATCATTGTCCTGCTGTAGAACCCAAGTGCGCTTCAGCTTGAGGTCACCAACAGATGGCCGGACATTCTCCTTCAGGACTTTTTGGTAGACAGCAGAATTCATGGTTCCATTTACCATAGCATGTACCATAGCATGTCTTTCAGGAAAGCAGCGGTTTTCATCTTGGAACTCTGCCATGCAGTCCATTTTTGCCCAATCCCTTTATTATGGTGGAGTCATGAACACTGACCTTAACGGAGGCAAGTGAAGCCTGCAGTTCTCTGAATGTTGTTGTGGGGTTTTGTGTGACCTCTTGGACGAGTTGTCGCTGCGCTCCTGGGAAGGTTCACCACTGTTCCATGTTTTCACCATTTGTGAATAATGGCTCTCACTGTGGTTCACTGGCATCCCAAAGCTTTAGAAATGGCTTTATGACCTTTTCCAGAGTGATAAATCTCAATTACTATGTTTCTCATTTGTTCCTGAATTTCTCTGGATCGCAGCATGATGTCTAGCTTCTGAGGATCTTTTGGTCTACTTCACTTTGTCAGGCAGGTCCTATTTAAGTGATTTCTTGATTGAGAATAGGTGTGGCAGTAATCAGGCCAGGGTGTGGCTGGATGTAAAAAAACACAGTTGAGTTATGTTTTAACAGAGGGGAGGGGGCAATCACTTTTTCACACAGGGCCATGTAGGTTTGGATTTTTTTCCCATTTAATAATAAAACTTTCATTTAAAAACTGCACTTTGTGATTACATGTGTTATCTTTGTCTAATATTTCAGTTTGTTTGATGATTTGAAATATATTAGTGTTGCAAACATGCAGAAAAATAACAAATCAGGAAGGGGGAAAACACTTTTTCACACCACTGTAGACTCATACAAAAATAATCTCTCTCAATGTTCAGCATGCAGGGAGTGAGGTTGGGACTCAATACAAATGTAGAGAGCAGGTTGTATAAAGAGCTGTATGTCTGTGTGTCTGTTTGACCGAGGGCGGGGCTCAGATACACACACACAGAGAGCCCACAGGACAGGATGACTGCCACTGCTCACAACAGCTCCAAACCAGCTCTATGAAACAGACTGATCCTGGTTCTGTTCACGGGTTAATTCAAGATAGGCCTTTTCACAATAAGCCCTGCTGTCCTGATCCATCTTTATGAAACATCCCTCAGTTCATGCGGCCCTTGGTGAACACTGACTTGAAGAGAAGAAATACATAATGTTGTACCTGCTCAGTGTCTCTGTAGGCCACAACAGCTGGAGTCACTCTGTCTCCTGCATCATTAGCCACCACATCAGCCCGCCCATCCTGAACACACAAACACACATTTATTTTTTGTTCCTGTAGGTAGAGCTGGACAATACATAAAAAAAAACAGTTAATTGACAGGAAATAAATCCAAACATTTTGCCCATCCAGTCTAAATGTGTTCGTGGAGGAAGAGGAAGATTCTGCCCCTGGGTGTCATGTAGGGAGTGCTGCTGGGGTTCCAGGTGTGTGACATATTTGCTTATATTCCTAAAATATTGTGTTTAATCCAGGTCTGCTCTAAATAATTACAATTCTATTGTATTTGTTTGTTAACTGTACAATAAAGAAATATGTGTCCCTTCAATGCCATTTTTTTTACTGTGTTGTGGACTCATGGAATATACAGAGATAAATGGTGGAACCTTTTTGTTTTACCAAATTTATTCTTGTGTGAGGGAATGTGGATTTATTAATCTAAGGGGAGTCACATGAGCTGGACGGGCGTGACACACATAATTCCCTCTAGTGTGGATCTGATCACGGTGCTGCCTTTTGGATGCTCATTTTCAGTTTCAAAAATGCTTAACAAACTTTCTATTTGAATCAGCGTGCTCCCGAGTGGTACGTGCACGCGCCATGCTGCATCAGGCTGCGCATGCGTAAGGCTGGGAACCACGAAACAAAAATAAGACTTTGGGTTTTTTTTGTTTTCTAGCTCTTCTTGTAGATTGCCCTGGTCAAGACGAAAACAAGAAAAAAAACAGTCAGCTTACTTTTTAACGCCTACAGAAACCGAAAAACTGAGTTCTGACCCGGATTTTTTTGCTTTCCGGGTTGAATGAGATAATTGATGGAACGGATGATTCACGGACCGTTGCGGAGCTAACGTTAACTTATCCCACATGAAATGATTTAGAAACGTTAGTTTTTGTACGTACAGTTTACTGGCAGCTGAACAACCAGCAACATCTCAGTGGGGTTTTTGACTTGAGCTCAACCCGGTCACTATCTTATCGAGCAGAGGAAAAGGGACAGTGTGTGAAAGGCAGGTACAGAGAAACTGAACGCAACGCACCTTAAATATCGCCACACAAGCGCATGTATATCCGAAGTGAACTCCAATCGCAGCCATTGCAGACAGATCCCAGCTCAAAGGACCGGTTGGGCCACGCGCATGCGGACCGTGTTCCGCCGGTAGGAGCAACTTCCGGTTCAAGGTTTTCAGAACAAAAGCGTAAACGTAACGCATAAGTAAACATAATTATTTCATTTTATTATTATAGCATATAATAATGATACAGGTAAACACCAAAAACATGTTACGATACAGGATACATGTCTCGAAGCGCTCGGAAGGCATAAGTAGGTTTCTTAGTAACGTCTACTCACCTGCCAAATTCCAGTGGTGAAATAAGTATTAATTTGGAGCTTTTACTTGAATGCACAATGTTAAAAAATATTCACAAAAAAATCTAAATCTTACTTAAGGAAAAGGGAGTATTTTCGGGTAAATGTATCAAAAGTACTGGGAAAGTGTGTGTGTTATATTATTTGGTTAGTCCGTTTGCACGGATGTCTGAGTCACATTTTTTCTTTTTTACTGTTGGTATAATCTGTACGTATATTTTAGATCGCTTCATTAAAGTTTAAGCCTAGTGGATCTTTAGCTCTGCGGTGACGTACGTCCAGGTGTTGTGCCGAATTCTGCCTGCCTGCCGAGAATTGCATGCACCTCGCGGGTGTCATTTATGCTGAGAAAAGAGGTGGATGCAAATCTCGGCAGGTAGCCTACAAAATTTGATTTTCCGAATTATGCATCCACCTCCTTAGGTCCTTTTCAGATATTTTGATGTGCTCATTGATCAAACGGCGTTACCACCACATAGGCTAAATTTACTGAATGTGAAGGAATGGTACTTCTAAGTGTATTAAAATATTAAAGACTCTAAACGTTAATAAAATAAATACTTCGAATCATTTATCACTATTGATAAACCCCACATATTATAGCGTTTAATAGCAGTATTTGGAGGTGCATGCAATTCTCGGCAGGCAGGCAAAACTCGGCATAACACCTGTCTGTCTCGGGCTGTCAGAGCTGGACTGAAGGACTGAAGTCGGTGGCTGGGACACCCAGCTAATAATAACGACAAAAGCTACCATGTCGGTGCTGTCCCTCGCCATTCTGCTGTTTTTCAGAGGGTTTACTTTCTCTGTGGCAGACGACTGTGAAGGTTAGACAGCATGGTGTGAGTAAGTTGTTTACAGTCTCGCTATAGTTTACCAGTACTACACTGTGCTTTTTTTAAGTACAGATATCATTTACAGGCTCTTATTTCTTACTCAAAATCAGCCATGCATGCCTGTGGCAACACCGTTCTCCCACCATAATCTGCCCTGCACGTGTGGATGAAATTGGGAGGGCTATCATTTTAAAATGATTTGAGTCAGAATATAGATGAAAAGACTGTGGAAGGTATTCTGAAGTTACAGGAAAGAAATGTAAACAATTCTGTCTGTCATAGCTAGCCACAGTGTGCAAAAAAAAAAAAAAGCTGCACATTACTTCAAAAACAGGCCTATATACACTCACCTGACACTTTATTAGGTACACCTGTTCAATTGCTTGTTAACACAAATAGCCAGTCAGCCAATCACATGGCAACAATTTAGGCATGTAGACTAGTCAAGACAACTTTGCCGAAGTTCAAACCGAGTATCAGAATGGGGAAGAAAGTGGATTTAAATGACTTTGAACGTGGCATGGTTGTTGGTGCCAGACAGGCTGCTCTGAGTATTTCAGAAACTGCTGATCTACTGGGATTTTCACGCACAACCATCTCTAGGGTTTGCAGAGAATGGTCTGAAAAAGATACAACATCCAGTGAGCAGTTGTGTGGACGAAAATGCCTTGTTGATGTCAGAGGTCAGAAGAGAATGGGCAGACTGGTTCAAGGTGACAGAAAGGCAACAGTAACTCAAATAACAACTCGTTACAACCAAGGTATGTCGAACCTTGAAGCAGATGGTGCTACAGCAGCAGAAGACCACACTGGGTGCCACTCCTGTCCGCTAAGGAAAGGATTCGCAAAGGATACACAGGCTCACCAAAAGTGGACAATAGAAGCATTGCCTGATCTGTTGAGTCTCAATTTCAGCTGCAACATTCAGATGGTTGGGTCAGAATCTGGCATAAGCAACAGGAAAGCATGGATCCATCCTGCCTTGTATCAACGGTTCAGGCTGCTGGTGGTAGTGTAATGGTATTGGGGATATTTTCTTGGCACACTTGGGCCCCTTAACTGAGCATTGTTTAAACACGACAGCCTACCTGAGTATTGTTGCTGACCATGTCCATCCCTTTATTAGCACAGTGTACGATCTTCTGATGGCTACTTCCAGCACGATAATGCTCCATGTCACAAAGCTCAAATCATCTCAAACTGGTTTCTTCAACATGACAATGAGTTCACTGAACTCCAATGGCCTCCATGGATCTCAATCCAATAGAACAACTTTGGGATGTGGTGGAACAGGAGATTTGCATCATGGATGTGCAGCCGACAAATCTGCAGCAACTGCACGATGCTATTGTGTCAATATGAAGGAATGTTTCCAACACCTTGTTGAAAGTATGCCATGAAGAATTAAGGCAGTTCTGAAGGCAAAAGGGGGTTCAACTAGAAAGGTGTACCCAATAAATTGGCCAGTGAGTGTATTTGTCAGCCAATAAGCACATACAACAACACATATTTGAACTCATAATTAACTCACTCATAATTGAACTTGATAAATGAAAAACAAGAAAGGTTCCTGAAAACATATTGAAGACTAAAGACTTAAAGACTTATTTAGAATGAACAGATGTCATGCTTCTCAACACATTTGATCTAATTTATGTTTATTTTTCTTATTTATAATTTATATTTATATAATTCATAGTGTTGTGGGCCACAAAACATAACTATTTGTCAGAATAATATACACAACATACACATCAACAAATGAAGACACAAACTCATTTTGCTGTAACATGTCCATTGTAACAGACAATGCGTTATGTAACCGAAGCCGGATGGCTGTGCAGTAAGTAAACCTCACTCCCCGAACACGTTAAGAGACGCACTAGTGCCCATGGGTTTCAGCCTCCTTGATTAGCTCATCCGTCTCCCATATCCGAGGTCGCCGGTTCGAGTCAGGACCTATTCATTAAAATATATAACACATGTCCACAAATAATTGATGCTCACTTCTACTAAAAGTGATGTGGTCTGCAGTGTGTGTGGGCTTTCTCCACAGACTGTATGGCAGTCTGACCTCAGCCCACAGAGAACTCACTCCTGCCCTGGTGGAAGAAGAGCTGATCCAGGCCTGCACTGTCGCCCAAGGGAAGGAGGCAAGGCTGGTGAGAATACAACGCAAAGAAAATTTCCACTTGTTTGTGCAAGTTGGACTGCTGGGGTGTTTTACAAACTGCACAGACAATACAGGCACTCATGGTACCAGATAATAACACACACCTACAGTTTCACAACTAGATTTTTAAAAAATACACACTGCATACACAAGGAACAAGGAATTCAAAACAGCATTTTATAGATATTTTATGGGGGGAAAACTCCATTTCAAAACTTTAAATCCAGTTAAATTACAAAAAAACCTATTCAGGGTTGCATCCAGCACCTTCCGGCATAATTATCTGTTCATGTCATATCAGCAGCGATTATGCTGTTTTCAATCTTTGTGTTCCCCTGGACAGTGTTTCCTTGCTAAATCACAGTGAAGCAATGGTGGAACAAAGAGGGAATTTTGTACTAAAAACTGTAACTTTGGAAGATACCCAGTGGACTTGAACAATACCCAGCAGTCTATCTCAACCGACCTTTTTTTTACTACCCTCTTCTTGTAGACCAAGTTTTTGGTGTGTGAGCTGCCTGGCTTTAGTGAAATTGTGTTTTTGCCAGGGATTGAAATTAATTGAATCATACTGATATTTAAACGTCATTTCAAGTCTGGATAAGAGGCAACAAGAAAAGAGAAAGACTCTCCACACCCATGAATGGTTTTCCATGTCATACATCGTGAGCTGCAGACTTGACTAATATGACTGTGATAACCAGTATACTGAGCTGATAATAGAAAAAGGTATGTTTTATGTGCTGTCTCAGTGTTACTACCTAGGAGCCAGCAGTGATGCAGCCACCCGTGTCACAGCATCAGTGTCTCGACCTCTGGCCTTCCATGTCCCTGTTGAGAAGATCTGCCAACGCCTCAGTAGCAGCGACACACAGATCTGTCAGCTCAGATATGGTAATGTGTGTTCAAATGCACAACAAAGACTAACCATTCATTTTAGTGTGCACAAAACAGACAAGTCTGTTTCTATTTTGTGGTTGTCTGCAGAGCCTCAGCTGAAGGATCTGAGCAGTGATGGGCTCAAAAAGCTGAGGGTCGTGGAGCTGAGGAACATTTTAGCCTCATGGGGAGAAGAGTGTCGGGGCTGCCTGGAGAAACACGAGTTTGTCAGCCTCATCCAGGAGAAAGCTCCACTGCATGCTCACAGTATGGAACTATGAATAGTAATTAATATCTCAGAAAAAAGGCAATACATCTGTATTCACACTGCAATCACTTGTGATTTTTGAGGGTGTCACTGACAGACTGTAATGCACAACATGAAGGAGCTGATACTGTTTTTACTCTTTTTTCCAAGCTCTAGATTGTTGTTACATCCTGAGAATTGTTTTTCCCATCCTGTGTGAAGATTTTGAAATTGGGGGTGGAGTTCAAAGTTGTAGTTTGATTCACATCCAGCTGGTACCAGTTCCTGTGGCCGAACATATTCATTTCTTGATACTAATTGTCCAAGTTTGTACATAACATGTACTTGACAGTATTACTACACTGAACAAAACACTTTTTTTTTTGTCCCCATTCATCATGAGCTGAACTCAAAGATCTAAGACTTCCTCTATTTACACAAAAGGCCTATTTCTCTCAAATATTGTCCACAAATCTGTCAAAATCTGTGTTAGTGAGCACTTCTCCTTTGCCGAGATAATCCATCCACTTTACAGGTGTGGCATATCAAGATGCTGATCAGACAGCATGGGTATTGCACAGGTGTGCCTTAGGCTGGCCACAATAAAAGACCTTAGGCTGGCCACAATAAAAGGCCACTCGAAAATGTGCATGGCATCAAACATAATGACCTCGAAAATCCGCGTGGAGCCAGGCCGTCGTCACACATGTGTTGTAGTTTGTTAAATATGTATAGACTGTTCAAAAGGCAGAAAATCCAGAAACAATGGAAAATGAAGGAACAGGGTTGGAGCGCAAGTACAATCTCACAACACATAATAAGAAGAGACACACTTAAATACCTGGTGGAGGTAAAGAGGACAGATTTAACACAATAAAACAGGAAATCACAAAACTCAATATCATAACCATGAAACTCAAAAACCCAAACAAAACTGTGCAGGGTCTCTCTTTGCTTTCACATGTGTTTGTTGTCTGCACCTGCTGTTTGCAGTTAATTTTGTGTCCACACGTTTCTAGTTTAGCCACATACTGTTTGACATAGATTTGAAAAGATTCCTCATATATTTATTAGATGGAGGTGTGCAATTACAAGTTCGGGCATTTTGATTGTCTTTATATGTGGAAATTTTGTTCTTCGGCCTATATGTGGAATTTTTGTTGATATGACAAATATTTCAAAGATCTTTGGGATACTGATAGGAGACGCTTAACATTTGTTAAAACTCTTTCAGAAAAGTGTGAAGTAACACAAAAGGCCACTGACGTATATGAGTTGTTTGTTTTTTGAAGTTACCCTGTTTAACAGCAGGCATGAAGAGGTCAGCTGTTACACAGGTAATTACTGGAACTTATTTGTGCATACAATATAAAAGATTTGAAGTAACATTACATTTTGTATTTGGTCTGACTATCCTGAACTGTTTTAAAAAGGGATTTGTTCAAACTTTTGTTAAAGGACCACCATAACAAATAAAACTGTTTTGATTGTATGAAGGTATATCTAAGCTGAGTGAAGATAGAAAATAAGGGGCAAAAATTGGACTATTCCAGATCTGCTTAAAGGACCTGCAAAAAAATATTTAATAAAGTGGGATAAACTGCCGTTGACAGCATTCCAGTTCGGTATGAAATTACTGATGGTGTATTTCCTCTTAAAGGCACATTTAGTGTGTTAAGTATGATGTAGGACACTGTTATAGGAAAGAGTATGCTCGCCTGCACCTGCAGCTCAAGTTGACACACACAATTCCTCAGAGGAAGAGGACAACGATAATGGAGCTACTAGAGAAACATATAGTAACTGGGATCCAGCCATCCAACAGCCAACTCAACAGATGGATGCCCTCTACGCTTCAGTCAAGGAACACTTTCCTCTACGTACACACTGGCCCCTGATTCATAGAACTCATAGAACGAAGGTGAGAGTGCTGCTGATTTCCATACTCGCGTGGACATTGTCTTCAACTTTCCTTCAGGTCTTGAAGAAGACAGCAATGCCTTTAAGAGTCTGCCCAAGAATTCTGTCATCAGAGGACTCCTTTAATGAGTGTCATAACTTCTATACTCTCTGGCAAAATCGTGGTTAAAGTACTTCCACAGGAAAACCCATTGCCCCCAAATCACTCCCTGTTAACCTTCCCTCTGCCTTACTCCTGCCTGACTCTGCTTTGCTGTTTGTAAATGTCAGGCTCACATGGGTAACCTTGATCCAGTGCCACAGGGGAAATGCCACTGCTGAATCAGCAGCCAAATCTGATGCTCTGTCTCCTGTCTCCCCATCTTTCAAATGCACCTTTCCTCCTGGGATGATCTTTTCTCTGATAATGATGTCTCTATGCTGCAGACTGGAGCTACTGGCAGAAAGTTTCATCCTGGTCAAAGAAAGGTTGCACATAACTCCCTAGTGTAGCCTGCACGGGCTACCAGTTGTTTCACGAGCCATCTCTCTCTTACTTGTTGACCCATGGTGCCGACCATGTGTCAAAGGAGGGGATGTTAGACACTGTAAACAGACATTGGTTTACATCCAGATTTTCGTCATATGCAGAAAATGTTGGTAAAAAGTGTGTGATTTCTGCGTATGGCCTTATACAGCTTTGTTCGTAAACATGACCTCCGAGTTGTTGTCACATCCTGGTCTCAGTCTGCCGGTTTGTTTTTTTGCCTTGTCTGTTTTGTGTTCTGATTCTTGTTTCAATACGTTCCATGGTGTTGGGGTTTCCTGTCTTGTGTGAGGGGTTTTGTTCCGTGTCTTGTGTTTCCTCTGTTCCCCCTTGTTTAGGTTTATTTGCATCAGTTATTGGTTCCGTCTCATTCTGTGTTCTTATTTTTAGTTCTTGTGTAGTCAGGCTTCTGTGTCAGTCTTTGTTCTTAGTTTCTGTCTTGTCCGTGTCCTCAACTGTTTCTGTTTTTGAGAGTTTTATGTTCAGTGTTGGTGTCAAGTTACATTTTTGTCAAGGTGCTGTCTGTTCAGTCTATGTCTTGCTCATGGTGTCATGCTCTGTTTCCTCTTTTGTCTTGTGGTTGTCTGCATCTGTTTGTATCCAGCTTGTTTCCTGTCTTGTCTTGATTACACCTCATGTTTCTCACCTGCTCCTTAGCCAGTGTTCAAATGTATGTCTTCCTGTTCTGCTCCTGTTGGTCCATTGTAGCTTGTCGTACTCTGTCTCATGTGATGTCCTCTACCTGTTTGTTCCCCCCTGCTTGTTCTCGTCAATGTGGATTTTGATTTTGCCCTTTGGATACTCCGTTTGGATTGTTTATTATTTTGGTTTGCTTGGATTGTTTAATAAATCATCTGAACTGTACCTGCTCCGCTCTGTATCCTTCATTTGGATCCTCAACCTTCCCCACACACCACCCAGCCTTGACAGTTGTTTCCCCCTTTTTGTTGTTTTTCTCCTATTGAACAAAACCACATTGTGAGTGCATTGTTTGGTGGAATACAGTTGGGAATATAGTTTAACCTAAGTAATTGTTGTTTGTGCAGAAATGTTACTGTTGGCACAGATAATTAATTTGGTTTCCGCAGTAATGCACCTTTAAGTGAAAGTAGAGCAAACTGATGTTTCCCCTCTCTACCAGTAGGTGGCAGTATGAGTGTATTTAAATGTTTGCCTGGTTTGTGTCTGTTGGCTGAAATACCAACAATTATCCAGTTTATTGATACAGATGTATTTAATGCTGCTCATTTCATTTGATATTTGATGTTTGTGGTTTATTTGCCACCTATTTGCATACAGCGTGAATTTACTTTGTACTTTTATATCATTTCAGAACCACACATACCTGTATGGGAGAATGAGCATATAATGATGACATGACATTAAATAATGGATAACTGAAAAATAGAGACATTTGGTTTGTTATCAGACACCCTTTAGTGGACCTGGCTTCAGTGACCACTTTGTTATGACACCACCTGTGATTCCTGTTGTTACATTGCACCTTCATCACTGTATCATCATCATCATTCACCCTCAGCTCAGAGTCAAACCTGCTGTCAGCTTCTGAGCAGCTCTGACTACAAAGTCACATCAGAAATATCAGAATTTGCAGATTTACCACTGTGCTATATACTGTGAACACTGTTTTGAGGAGATGACTGCATGAGATATTGTGGAAGATTGAAACATGGATAGCACAATTCTAAGGAGATGTGTCATAACTGTCTTCACCCTCCAGTTCCACTGTGTCAGGCAAGTGAAAAGAATCCATACAAATCTGAACAATTTATTCAACATGTAGCGCATACAAACTTTCAATGGCATTAATAGATATCATAATATTGTGAATTAACATACATTTAAAAGCTATGGCTGCAGAATACTGAGGATACTTGGGGAAAATGGATTATACTTTAGTACTCTGACCCTAAAAGAGTCAATGCTAGACGGACATTCATCAGGTGGACAAAACACACATTTACAATATAGACTTTATATGGTGATGCTATGTCAATGTTTACAGCTTGTGTTGCCCCCAAAAGGCCAAACATTAGTGTATTTTTAAAGCTAGGGTAGGCCACTTATTTCATAAGCATATTTTTTTTTGTTATGTTTGTTGTCAATAAATCAGAGGCTTTGACACAAAAATGAAATAAAAAATTCTACAGGCTGCTGTTTTGTCCACCTTGCGCAGCTGTCTAAGGTGTTCTAGAAAACACAAGTCAACTTTCTGCACATCAAAGAGCAGGTTGGCATCATGGAGGCAGGTGGCACACCACCCCCAGGGTCATTCCTATCCCAAAGTCATCCTAGGTGGACTTGGGTCCTTCAGAATTACCCATGAGGAGGAGAGGAGCAGGAGAGGCTTTGAAGCACAGGAAAGGCCCCGGGATGAGCCGCTGAGCAGATTTCTCAGACTTGTCCTTACATCATCAGCAATCTTGAGAGCAGATTTAAGAATCTCCACATCCTCTGAGCCTTCAGTGTCCTGGGGTCACACGCACCAACCTTAGATGATGCTGCCCATAGATATCCAGATAATCCCTTTATTATGGATATCTATGATGCTGCCAACATTGCCCACCTGCAGCCCCTTACCAGGAAATTCCTCCCTGGACAGGATGCCGCAGTTGTCCA